TCTCTCTCTCTCTCTCTCTCTCTCTCTCTCTCTCTCTCTCTCTCTCTCTCTCTCTCTCTCTCTCTCTCTCTCTCTCTCCTCCTCCTCCTCCTCCTCCTCTCTCTCTCTCTCTCTCTCTCTCTCTCTCTCTCTCTCTCTCTCTCTTTCTGGAAAAAACTACGTGCCTATAAATTTTCGTATACTTTATCAATGGCTTCTCTAATGGAATAAAACCATTCGGAGAAAATCCGGCCACTCTTTTATTCTCTGATATATATATATGTTCGAACTATTTACACGTGTGTATATATATATATATATATCTGATTATTGGAGAGAGGAGAAAAAAGCTCTCGAATAGCCAACGCGTAATTTACCATCGATTTTTGATTCGTCCTGAACGAGTGTAATCGCGTGGAAAGTGTGCGCTTATTCGTGATACGAGAAAATTATTACACCGCAAATACTTCCCCTCTCCTTTATCTCGTTTCCATTGAATTTAACGAACGTTTAACTCTCTTTCTCTCTCTCTCTCTCTTTTTCTCATTGCTTTTGCATTCCTTCGCAAATATCCTATTCCGATCGTTCGAATTCATAGATTTCACGATCATTCGGTACAATTTATGAAGGAAAATTCTGTCCGACTTTTTCGACTCGATTTCGATATCGAGTCGAATTAACTTTTCCAATTTTTCGAAAGGTATGCGTGAATATCTTTAATTAATAGAAAGAATTCTCCTTAGTTAAAGTTTTAAAATAGTTTTTCAAAGGGATGACGTTATAGGAATATCAATAAATAATAGTTGGAATCTAAAGAGAATAATTCTAGTGATCCCTAGTCTCCTTCTCGATCGAGTAAAAATTCCCTAGATTTAGGAATCACGCGATTCCTAAAAAGATTAAAAAACATGTTTCTCTTTTTTTCAAAACGGCGAAAGACTTGGCGATCGAAAAAAAAGTGGCGAATAAAGATTCGACGTTACAAAAATATCTATAAATAGTCGTTCGAATCTAAAGAAAATAATTCTGGTGATCCCTAGCCTCCTTCTCGATCGACTATAAATCCCTAGATTTAGGAATCACGCGATTAAAAAGATTAAAAAATACGTTCCCTTTTTTTCGAAATGGAAAGAGACTTGGCAATCGAAAAGAAAAGTGGCGAATAAAGATTCGACGTTATAAGAATATTTATAAATAGTCGTTCGAATCATAAGAAATTAATCCTGGTGATCCCTAGTCTACTCGATTCGACTCGATATAAATTGACAAATCGAATCAGATTAGCTTTTCCAATTTTTCGAAAGAACAACGTTATAGGAATATCCATAAATAGTTGTTCGAATCATAGAAATTAAAAGAAATTAATTCTGGTGATCCCTAGCCTCCTTCTATCGACTAGAAATTAGGAATCATGCGAAAGATTAAAGGACAGAAGTAGCGTTTCCCTTTTTTTCGAAACGGAAAGAGACTTGGCGATCGAAAAGAAAAGTGGCGAATAAAGATTCGACGTTACAAAAATATCTATAAATAGTGGTTCGAATCTAGAGAAAATAATTCTGGTGATCCCTAGCCTCCTTCTCGATCGACTATAAATTCCCTAGATTAGGAATCACGCGAAAGATTAAAAGACACGTTTCCCTTTTTTTCAAAACGACGATCAAAAAAATAAAAAGATTCGAAGGGAGGAACATCGATGAAACGAATGGTCGCATCGTTTGCAAACAACGGGAACAATGATCGATAGTCGGCGCGAGCGATGCTCCGTCCAACTTGTGCCCCGCGGATGCAACTGCATCTGGTGGATACAAAACAATTCTTGCCGATTCCTTCCAAACTGTTCGCATTTTCCGTCTCTTTTCTTCCCCTCTCAAACGCTCGAAGGCGTTAAAACCCCCGTCGATTCCTCGCAAACTTGTCCCCTTTCCTCCTTCCAATACCTCGAAAAGCATCGTCATGTGGACTCGAGCGCCGTTTATCGAGTCGTTTCTCGAGAAAAAGTGAAAAAGCCTCGTGCAAATTAGTTCGAGAGAAAAATTTTCTCGTTTTTCTCGTTTCTGCTATTCGCTATCTTTTCAACTCACATTGGCAAAATACAAAAAGGGCGAGAGGAAGAAAGGAAGAAACGAGTTAAGTCATAAAAGGCTCCTTAAATCGTGCGATCATCCATTCATCCCTAATGTTCGCCATTTTAACCTAAATTTCATCGATTCTCCCTTTTTTATTTTTTTATTTTTTATTTTTCATTTTTCTTCCCCTCCCCCCCCCCCCTCCAGTTTCACGGTACGCAATGCGATGAATAGATAACGAACGAACGAACGAACGAACGAACGAACGATGGATGCACACACAGGAGTTCTCGCGTCAACGGAACGATTAATCGAATTTCGAGGAACGGAACGAACGTCGTTTTTGCACGGGGTTTTGCAAAGACGCACGTATCAAACTAGCAAATTTCATTGCTGTTTTACTCTTTATTTTTTATCTTTTTCTATTTTTTCTTTTTTTTTTTTTTTTTATTTTTTCAATTCCTTTGCTCGTTTCATTTTCGAATAGACAGAGAATAGCAATTTGCATGCCTCGTGGTGGTTTGAATATTTTCGAACGAAGCTAGAAACGAAAGTTCGTGCATGGAATTACTCGTTCGACGAACAATTTCCCCCCTCTCTCCTCCCCCTCCTATATTTTCAAGAGATATTCCGAGGAAGAAGAGTTCGATCGCGCTGTTTCGCGCGGAGAGCCCCGTAAATTTATATAAAACTATACTTGATGACAAATTTCCAAGTTTTCCAACGGTCCGTTCAACTCTTGGGGAACAGTTTCAAAAGCAGAGATAGAATGAGAAAAGTTGGAAATTGGTCGCGGCGAATTTTCATTTCTGCAATAACGCGGCCAACTTTCCCCCCCCACGAATCCACTCCTCTCCAAATCGTTTCGCATCCTCCTCGACCCGATATCGCGCCACACCCATTCGCTTCGACCAAATATTTCAACGGATTAATCTCACCTTTGATCCCCTTTCGTTCGAGATTTTTCGAGGGAATCGAGGACCGATTTCGATAATTCCTCGGCTCGAACGAGTGCTGCCGCCTCGATTAACAGTTGCAACGATCAAAACATGAACGATTTTTCTCTCTGTCTCCAAACAGATGATTTTTTTGTCCTTACAAATGAACGAGTACACGGGAAAATTTTAATTTTCTATTCTTGCAGAATCTTTAAGAATGTGAAGAAACAAAGGAACGCAAATGCCCAACCAGGCACGGCCTCGTCGAGAGTGGTCTCCCCAGTCCCCTATACATGTATTGTAAGTACATCCTTAAATTAATATAACTTTTCGACGAAAGTGTATATTAGATCGTATTAGATCGTGAAATTATTGTTGCTCGAAGGGAAAACGAAATACGAGCCATTTTCTATAAATACTCGACCGTCGAATAATTTTATTCTTCAAAAACAACCGTGAAACGAGTACGACGATCGGTTGGTGAAGAAATATCGTCGCGTCCGCGATTTGTTTCTCGATCTATTTCAATAGAATGCCGCTGTGTTACGATATCTCCTTGTTTCGAAGAAGAACAACGAATCGTTCCTTTTACGGACCGCCGTAACGACGGTTTCGCCATTCGTTCAGGATTTTCATTGGCGTCGTCTAGCATTCGCCTCTCGTCACAGCTCGTAATTCTATTCGAGAATAGACTCGTGTCGTTTCGAGGTTCGCGCGATGACCACGCTTCGAAGCGCCGCGACTTTCGATCTTTCGCCGGTTGGCGTCGCTTTTTCAATTTCTTCGCTTCGCTCGCTCCACTCGAATGCGCGAAAACCGTCGTTCCAGATACGTCCACGACTCCGCTTTCGTTTTCGATTTATCCTCGTTTAATATGGATTTCGATCCACCTCGAGACTCGTTTTCAAGATTCTCGTTCCTAGACCCGAATTTTCGAAACCATCGTCGAACGATCCACTCATCGATGGAATCTTCTACTCGAAAGTTAACCTAATATTTTGATACGCTTCGTACGGGAAGAACAATATTCGAAATTCGTTCACCTTTGAGAAAAACAGTTGAACTAATAACGAAAAAGAAGTTATTACAGAAATGAAATGTAGGTTAGGTAAGTAGAGTCAATGACGGTTGATTGTCGTTTGTTCTAAAATTGGCAACTTGATGTGTTACACAATCTAATGTAATTCTTTGTACAATCTTGGCCGTTGCGATTAATTATTTGTTCAATTTTAACTCCTCCTTGAGATTTTAACTCCTCTTCATGGACATTTGTACGTAAATTTAGTTTTTTTCTTAATTAAAATCATCAAGGGAAAAAACAAATTACATCTTTTAATAGTGAAAACGAAAAACTGATAATATTATTCAACTTATCGGTGGAATCTTCCCCTCAAAAACTAACCCAATATTTCGCTTCGATTGCACTCGTACAGGAGTGATATTATACATTCGTTCCCTTCTGAAAAAAAAAGTTAAATTAACGGGAAAAGTTATTAAAGAAATGAAATATAAAAAAACAAATATAGTGAAAATATGGTGAGCAAAATATAGGTTAAGTATAGTTTACGAGTCGCAATTGATCTTCCTGTAAATATCCATTGACTGTGTACAGGTCGAAGATCGATGCGATTAATTTTATCACGCAACAATTCTCATCTTACCTAGTTTTTCGATTGAATCGTAACCTTAATAAACTTCGATAAAATCATAATTAATTTAAATCTACAAGAAATTCGAGCTTTAATTCAACGCGTTTCGACGAAATTCCCGTCTTCGTTAGAAATCTTTTCGATGGAAAAACTTTTTTCCAAACCTAAATCCATTTAAGTAGGTATATTTTCGAATCGATCGTTAGGTTAAACGAAGAGATCGCACGATCGAAGAAAATCGGAAAAAGAAGAAAATCGTGCTGGAAAAAGTTTTGCAGAAGCAAAGCATTAATCCAGAGGGACGAGAGATCGTGGAACATCGCGTGTGGTTAAGCAGCAGGTTCCTCGTATCCGTGGCAAGAAGATCGTCGCGGTTCCTAATTGGGCCAATTCGCGAGATAAGGTCTTGAATTTGAGGGAGCGGAACATGGCGTACGGTCACGAACCGGCCCGACATGGCCGGACGTAATTAAAAGGCGGAGATGTTGCGGCACGAGCACGCGTCGTCCTGAAATTACACTTATCATAACCGCGTCCATCTTGCGCTATGTGGATCGAGAAGCGAGGAAATTGACGGTGGATAAGCTGCACGAAAACATCGATACGGAACGAGTTTTCATTTAACGCGTATAAAAATGTAACGAGATCGGAAAATAGATCGAATTGTTGTTCCTCGAAACTTGAGATAACGATCTTTAAAATAATTATTCGTTAATCGTAACGGGGCAGATCGAATGGAAAGTCGTAAATTAACCCCTCAACGAATAAGAGAAATCGTGGTAAGAAATTTGGGCCAAAAACTGTAAGCCTGACTCTTCTCGTGCCACTTCGTTCGAACCAAACGTAAACAACACGAGCCTGACTCGTGATACTTCGTTCGTACCAAACGTAAACAACACGAGCCTAGCTCGACGCGTGACCTTCTTGTTTATTCTGAGTTAGCTAGGACAAGGGATAGAGTTTCTTGTCGTTTTACTTGGAATTTTTTTGCGAAAACGAATTAAGGAAGAAGGGGCGAGACGAAAAACTCTCTCGTATCCCGATTATATTACGTGTTAGTCGCGTTTGGATCATTCGGGCGAAAGTTAACCGCGCGTGGAAATTGCGATTCGGTCGCGATAATACGGTCGATGCGTTTCCAAAGAGGGTTGCCGCCGATTCGAGATAAATATTTGGCGTTGCGCCGAAAACCGAATCCTCTCTTTCTCTGCCTGTGACTTCGCCCAGTCGGCCGGAATCAACCGATCAAAAGAGAGAGAGAGAGAGAGAGAATGCTGCGGCTTTTCCACGCTGTTTATTCTCCCCTCCAATCGGCCGATAACTTATACCAGCCTTCTCCTCGAAAATCTTCGTTTTCTTTTTTTTTTTCTTTTTTTCTCTTTCGATTTTCGACTCTTCGACAACCGATCGGATCAATAAATTTGATCAATTTGATCGTTTTAATGAAGGAAAAAGAAAATAATTTTTTTTAATATTGGACGAAAGTATCTCTTCGAAATGGGATTTAGGTGTTAGGTTGGGTGAAGTTGAGAAAATTTAAATCATCAAATCGGCTGAGTGACGCGAGATAAAAGTTTAATTTTTAGTTTTTTATCTGGTTTATGTCGACAATTGACAATTGAATTAGATTAATAAAAATGACGATCGAATGAAAAATAAAATTTTCTCGCTGTTCGATGCGTTATTTTTTTTTTGTAAGTATCAATCCAATTTCGAAGGAACAAATTGCGTTCCTCTAATAAATTCAAAACTTTAATACGCGATAATACGGATATTTAATAAGAGGATAGTCGAGGCAAAAATGCTTTGGCAAAAATTCGTCTCTCGATATATCGATAAATCAATCACGGGATAATGATAATTCTCTCTTTGTCCCGCCAATGGAATTTATACGATAGAAAAATCTTTAATCTCGTTACGAATCGGCGAATCGTCGAGAGATGTCGCCGCGTAAATTGCACATAAACGCGTCACGAGATTAAAGGATTATAGTCGTGCATAAACATCGCACGTAACGAAACTATCTCGGCCCGAATAAATATTCGGAGGATAAAAGTTACGATTTCTCTTGTGTTTCTAAAAAAGAAAAAAAGAAAAAAAAGCACTCGAAAGTTTTTCTTTATTCTAACGAACAGAGAGCCATTGGTTACTCGCATTCCAATATGGCGGAGAATCTCCATTCATCCGGACTTCCATAACATCGATCAGCCCAAGTTTCGAAAAACGAAGAAAACGAAAAGATATTTTCCTGGAGAGAAAATTTCACGTTCTTATAGAAATTTAATCCCAGATAGAAAAACAAAGAATTTAATTCGACTTTATATTTTTGCGTAATAATTAACATAACATCTTGGATTAGCATTAAACTATTCTTCTATTTTAGAGGATATTTTAGAGGATATTTTAGAGATCTTTTTTAGAGGATATTTAAATTGCACAGTTCTCCGAGCGGACGAAAGAGAAACCTATTTTCTTAATCGAAGAATAAGATTCTCTCTCGAAGGGAAACGGAAATTTCATTAAAAAATCGAAAAACAAAAAGTCGACGATATATAAATTCTATTCGTGATAATAAACGTGTACATCTTGGAAAGCGTCGATCTATCGCTTCGATATCGTAGAAACGTCTGTTTCAGAGGATCGTATATATAAATTGCACATCTCTCCGAGAACTGGACGAGAAATCTAGTTTGTGATCGAAGAATAAGGTTTCCTCTCTCCGGATGTCGGGCCGAGGATATATTTTTCACCGTATATCGCTACAGCTTTTTCCCGGCCGTAGGAAATCGATGATGATGCGCGATACGCGGGAAACGATACGATCGCGAAAAAAAAGAAAAAAACGTTCGCTATTCTTGCACCGAGTCGAAAAGTTTTTCGTCTCCTTTTTAAATTTATTCCGGTTGTAAAAACGAAACTTCCCTCCCCCTCGTCCCTTCTTCCCTCCTCAGAGACTTCATTAACCGTCTTTATTTAGAAACTTGAGAGAAACGCGCTTCTTTCCCCCATCTCTTGGAGAGAGATTAAGATACGCGAGCAACGCGTTAATTCCTTCCTTCCCGTTTCGTCCATCGTACTCGTCCTCGCAGTTGGAAACATTTTCGACCGTTCGCTTGGGACCTATGAAATTCTCTAAATGGCCGTCGTCGCTTCGAACAATGGATCGCCATTTCTTCACGACGAATCTCCCTCTCTGTGTGTGCTGCGTGCGCACGTGCCAGAGTGCGTGTGAGTGAGCGAGCGAATGAGTGAGTGAGTGAGCGAGTGAGCGAGCAAGCGAGCGTGTTAACCGTCAACGAGTCGGTTGAGTGGCCGCAACCGCGTCGGTGGCAAGGATAAGAAAAGCGGAAGCGCGCCGATTAGACAAAACGAATATAAATAACGGATATCCAGAAAGAGCACGTGCGTTATATTTCGATATATAACGTAACGTTTCCTCTTTCCATCTCCCCGTTTCGATATTTATTTCATCCTTTCCTCCGGCGTTGGCTGTCCACCGCTGAAGAATCTTCGTTCCCAGGCCTTTGTCCCAGAAAACTTTTGAAAGAGGATATTTTTTCGAAAAAATATGTGACGCGAATTCTATTCGATTATCAATTTTCTCGGCGGATACGTGTTATTTAACGTTTCGACGAAACTGGAAGGGAATTTGGTATGGATATTTAATTGGAAGAATATGGTGACTCGACGCGGGAAGGAAGCGGAAAGAAGAATTGTTTTTCGCGCGATTATCTTTATCCGGATAGGGCTGTCTTTGTTGATAAGTCGAGAACAACGGTCGATTTCCAGTTTCCAGATGTTGTATCCCTGGTAAATCCGTTTTTCAGTTTAAGTTTTCTCGATCACACTGACCTTTTTTTTATCATTTTGCGCTCGTGATGATTTGATTAATCTCGCTTAACAAAAACTCTCGTATCGCGTATGACTCTGTACGACAATTGATGTCAACGTTTCCGACCCGATTCCTCTTATCTGCTCCTACATTTCGCTCCTCCCGAAAAATCGTCCGGATGATGCATGCTCGCTTCCTCGTTCGATGCGTTCAGTGTATCGACGATAATGCTCGGCCGCGCTCGGGATCGCGACTCGTCGTTGTTCGTCTCTTTCCAAGATCGAGAGAGGACGAGTCGAATTTAATTATTTATACGGTTACTCCTCGATTCGTCGATTTTCGAGAGGTGGCTTTAAAACTAAACATCGATTACGGCGATTTGGAAATTGGTCGCAGCTGGATCTTCGTAGGAGACTTTTTTTCGACTTCGATCAAGCGTACGTGCGATAAAGGTATTCTCTGCCTTATCGATCGATTTCTCTCTTCTTTCCTTCTTTAACCCAATTTTGCTCGAGCGGAAAATCAATATTTCGGTTCGATTTCAACTGGAAATGGTCGATCGTCCAGGCAGAGGATATTTTTGTTGCGTTTATCGCATCGAGTGGCCTCTCGTCTCGATATTTGTATTCTTTTATCCCATTTCCTTTCCCATAAACGAAAGATCCATCGAGATGAGGTGGTGAAGCAAATTTCGAGAGATCCTAATTTTCCTACCATCCCCACTCCTCTCCTCTGCATCGACTCGAGGGGAAGGAGTAGTTGCACAACGCGAACGCGTGTTATTGAATCGCGGTTACGACGGCGTAATGGAGTTGGTCGCGAGTTCCGCTTATTTCGGTCGCGTTTCAATTACGAGATGCTTCAACTCCTGATGAAATCCTGAATTTTCCATTTAAATCCCCGGGCGGAGAGAAATCCTCGAGTCGAGACGCGTGCTCGATCGGTAAGAAAGGCATTAATAGTTCGGCCAAGCGTTGGAAAGAGTGGATTGTGGGCGGTGAATTAAGGCGAAGGTGTAGTGGTGACGATCTGGTAACAGAAGAATCTGTTGTGTGTGGAAAGTGATAACGCAAAATAGGTTCGATCGAGTGTTTCGCAAAAATAACCATTCTTACGATTATTTGATTCTTCTAGTGCTCTAAGATATTCTTAACATGTAGATCGTCATTTAGATATAAGAATATCCCTGTCTCGATTGAATATTTCCAAAGAAGAATTTCCATATACATCATCGTTTAATACTCGTTAATCATCTCAGAAATAACTGTTTCGGGTGCTGCAAAATATTCTTAATACGTTGTAGATTGTGTCATTTAGAGAGAAACTGTAATAAAAATATTCCTGCCTCGATCATATTTCCAAACATAGAAGAATTGAATGTACAAACTTTAAAGTTTTCGATTTTCGACTTGTTGAATGGCCTGATTTGATCATTCATATCTGACGATTATAATATTTTTAATACTCGTTAATCGTTTTAATACATCGTGTCGTTTAGAGAGAAACTGTATAAAATAACAATATCGATTAATTTTGAACGTTTCACATTTCCAAAGATACGAATAATTGAATATACAGACTTGGCAAAATTAACCATTCGTACCTTACGATTATTTAATACTCGTTAATCATCTCAGGAATAACTCTTTCTGTAAGATATTCTTAACACGTTGTAGATCGTTTCATGTTTGCAAAGATCCTCGAAGGCTTGTTGAATGAACGAATAAAATTATTCTTGGCTTTCGATCAATCGTATCCTAATACTCGTTCATCATCTCGAGGATAACTTCCAAAAAATATTGAAAGATATAACGCGTTGCCGTGAATTATTGTCATTTAGAGAAAAACGATCCTGGCGTTCGACCAATAAAAACGACTCTCCCTCGAACGTTTCGTATATTTCCAAAGAATTGTACACAAATTTCGTAAAATTAACGTTTCAATTTTCGACTCGTTGAATGGCTCGATAAATTATTCTTATGGCTTTCGATCGCTCGTATCTAATTAATCGTCTCATAGATAAATTTCACATAGTGTAAAATATTTTTAATACGTTGCGAATTGTGAGAATCGTTGTCATTTTTTTTTTTTTTTTAGAGAAAAATTATACATAATAAAAATATCCTCGATCGATTTTTCGAAGTGTTTTCCAAAGATACGAAGAATTGTACACAAATTTCGTAAAATTAACGTTTCAATTTTCGACTCGTTGAATGGCTCGATAAATTATTCTTATGACTTTCGATCGCTCGTATCTAACGATTATTTAATATACTCGTCTCATAGATAATTTTCAGATGGTGTAAAATATACGTTGCAAAGAATTATTTTCATTTAGGGAGAAACTATATAATGAAAATCTTCTGCCTCGTTTCAATTTTCGGTAAATTATTCTTTCGATTATTCGTTAAGACATCCTTAACGCGTTGCGGATCATAATTCCAAAGACACAGAAATAATTGAATATACCCAGCAGACATTGTTAAATAAACTTAACGTTTCAATTTTCTGGTTGAATGGGCCGATAAATTGTTCTTAGATCGCTCGTATCCAACAATTACTTAATACTCTTAGTTAATCGTCTCGATAACTTCCAGATGGCGTAAGGTATATCGCGTTGCGGATCGTGAGAATTGTTGTCGTTCAGGGAGAAACGATCCTGGCGCTCGACCAATGAAAATATCCTCTGCGAATTTTACGGACTCTTCCCTCGATCGATTTCGAATATATTTCATATCGTGCCAATACGTGTGATTAGTTGGCTGGAAAAATTCCACGTAGCTCCTCCTTCCTTCCAACCCAATTCTCCCTTACTTTAATTTTTGACTCATCGGATGATACCCGATAAATTATCTTTTCCATCCACTCGACAATCCTTTCGTGTCCATCTTATTAATCGTCCGTGATATCGTTACTTTTTCAAGATGTATTACGAACAGATTCAAAATTAAATTTTTCTTTCTAACGAATTTGATTTCTTTTTAATAAAATAAATAATACAAAAAATTTAACAAGATCGATTGTACCTTGCAGCCCGTTTAATTTTATTCATCCTCCTGAAAAACGTTCTTTTTCTCCTAAAAGAAAAAAAAAAAAAAAATTTCCGTACGATAGAGGAGAAATAAATGGAATGGTTTGCAGGTGGATGGCCCGCTCTGCCATGAGGCCGGCCGAGGGCGACACAACGGACTGCATCCTTGTTGTTGGTATATCGAGACCGAAAATGGCCGCCGCCTTTCTAACCGTCGTCCTTCTCTCCCTCTTCCTCACCTTCCACATCCTGTACGACAGCGCGGTGTACAGTCTTCACGCGGCCTCGGCCGTGGAGGGGCGCGCGGTCGAGCTGGTGTCCCAGGTCCGCGCCACGCCCCCCCTCCTCTTCTCCAGCAAGGTCCATTTCCCGCGCACCAGCCGCCATCTACCTCAGGCGATCATAATCGGGGTGAGGAAGTGCGGGACCAGGGCCCTCCTCGAGATGCTGTTCCTCCATCCCCAGATACAGAAGGCGGCCGGCGAGGTCCACTTCTTCGACCGGGACGACAATTACGGGAAGGGGCTCGAGTGGTATCGAAGGAAGATGCCTTATTCGTTCAGGGGCCAGATCACCATCGAGAAGAGTCCCAGTTACTTCGTCACGCCGGAGGTGGGTGGACTCGAACCAATTGGCTTCACACGAATAACTTAATTGTGATTTTTCTCTCTCGTCTTTGTGTGTTTACTCACGTTTTCGTTATATTTCCAATTCGTTGATAAACCGTACGAATAAAATAAGATATTGGCGTCGAACGGTTTCATTCGTGTCGTTATACCGGTTCGAATAATTGTTTCCATGTATAACAAACCATACGTTAAAATTTTAAATCATATTTTTAGATTAAACAAAAACACGCAGGTGCTATTTAGATAGATTACATCGAATATAATTTATAGGATGGCAACAAAGTATTGGGAAGAAGAAAAATTAGATTTAAACATTACAAATTATTTTAAAAATTGTAACATCGAGTCTTGCCACACTCGACACACTCATCCTAAAGGAAGAAGGAGGAATAGTTCGTCCTCTTTCGTTATATTTAACGATACATCTCGTTTATAAAAAGAAAAACATTTTTTGTATAAAAGTAGTCGCGTACGTTCGAGTATAAAAATTAGTAGAAGAAACTTTATTAAGGCTTTATTAAGTAATTTCCGTTCGGAACGATTCATTTCCTGAGATATCTAATAAATAGAGAAAACCTTACTCTAATATAATCGCCGCGTTCCACGAACACACTTTTGCTTTTAACGTTACCGTTATACAACACGCGACTCGCGTTTAACCGCAATTTCCAAACGTAAACACCGTGTCCCGCGAAATTATGAGTATATCGGATAGGAGTGGGGGAGAATATTATCGCGCGATACAGTCGACACCGTGCAGATGGCGACGACACGCGTCTTGTTGCGCATCGACCAATTCAACCGTAATTATTCTTCGGTTACTTCGTTTTCGAAAGTCGAACGATGGAAGAAGCTAACAAAAATTATTTTATTTCCATTGGTTTTGGGATTGTATGAGGAAAGAAGATTTAATTTTTAAGGAAGATGGCGACGACACGCGTCTTGTTGCGCATCGACCAATTCAACCGTAATTATTCTTCGGTTATTTCGTTTTCGAAAGTTGAAAACGATGAAAGGAAGAGAAAAATTATTTTATTTCCATTGGTTTTGGGATTGTACGAGGAGAGAAGATTTAATTTTTACGGAAAACGATATTACGCTTTTTGTCATAATTTATTACGTTTCGTTGAAAACGTGTACGGCGTAAAAATACGATAGAATGTATAGAAGGAAGAATTAACATCGAGTTTAGTAAAATAAGAATAAAAATAACGTACAAATTTTATTATTACGTGATTCGAAAAGCGTTGAGTAATATCGCGCGAAATATCTGGCAGGCAATCAAACTTAGAAAACGTTTCGAATTTGTATAAACGAAGGATAAATTGAACCTCGAGAATTGAAGATGGTATTTTAAAAGAAATGTTTATTAAAAGAAAAAGTTGTGCTATTCTAGAAAAACGATGAAACTGAAAGTTATAAAATGAAAGAAGCACTGTGAGAAGATATGCTGTATATTTATCGTAAGATTGAAAGGAATATAAAAATTACCAACTAAAATTACGAATATTATTATATATATAAGATATATATATGGATTAAAATTAATCTATAAATATCCATGGCTAGATTAAAGAATCCATTCTGCCTGTACATATCATGGACGATCGTAAACGTTAAAATTAATTTTGATATAGTTTTGCAAAGTTTTTGCGAATCAAATATGGCACAATAAAATAGAATAGAAAGTGGAACGTGTAAAAAATCATCGACAAATCGTTACATCGTTTCTAATACGAAGTAATTACTTAATGTTAACTTTAATTTATGAAAAAAAAAAACTTTCCATTATGAAATTGAAATTTAAACGCTCCTTAACTATTGAAATGTGACCGATCGATTAGTTCATTTCGTTTAATCTATGAAAAGAAAAAATTAAAAATTTTAATACATGGTTATTATTTATAGATTACATCGAAACAATTATTTTTTACAAATTTGAAAATGAATTTTTAAAAAAAATTTATCGATACTTTATATAACGATTTAAATTAAAATAAATGTTTCGAAGTTGAAATTTAAATGTTTCGTAACTGTTGAAACGTGACCGATCTATTATCGATTAATTCTCTACAAAACATTTTGTTTTAAAAATAGGATTTAAAATTTGTACAACTTTTCACACGTTATTTTTTTACAAAATTTCGTCAAAACATTTATATCGAGGATACGTAACAAACCTCCTTTCCCCCAAAATCCACTTCAATCATTCTTTTTTACGCACCAGGTACCGGAAAGAATTCGAGCGATGAACGCGAGCGTGAAGCTGTTGCTGATAGTGCGGGAGCCAGTGACCAGGGCGATATCCGATTACACCCAGCTTCGAACTCACGCGGCTACCGCATCGACGATGACGAATGGCACGCCTCGAACCGTGCAACAACAGCAGCAACAACAGCAACAGCAGCAGCAGCAACAACAATTGGCGCGTAGCTTCGAGGAATTAGTGATACGGGCGGACGGTAGCATCAACGAGTCGTACAGGCCGGTTGCCATCTCCTTGTACCACACGTATATGCACAGGTGGCTCGAGGTGTTCTCCAGAGATCAGATCCTGATAGTGAACGGCGACCAGCTGATCGAGGACCCGGTTCCCCAGTTGCGCAGGATCGAGAACTTCCTAGGACTGGAGCCGCGGATAGGCAGGCACAACTTTTACTTCAACCACACGAAAGGTTTCTACTGCCTTCGGAACGAGACGTCGGAGAAGTGTTTGAAGGAGAGCAAGGGAAGGCGGCACCCCCGAGTCAGCCCCGTGGTGGTGACCAAGCTGAGGAGGTTCTTCAACGAGCACAATCAACGATTCTACGAGCTCGTGGGGGAGGACCTCGGCTGGCCCGAGGAATAACCATCGTAGAGATGGTGGGCTCGATACTTGTATCGTATCGTCGTGGTCGCCACCACGCCGAGCCCAAATCTTTCGCCCCCGGTTGTTCCGCGAAGAATTAACCCTCTCTTTCTTTTTTTAATCTCGACGAACGATGAAATCTTTACCTCGATTCGAGTCACGAAGATTCCTCGAGAAGAAAGGAAGATTGGAGAAAGGAGTTTGTTTAAAATTGGTTGGAAAAGGAAAACCGAGAAAAGGGAAGAAGATATGTTCGTGATCCTTGGAATCGAAGAAGGAATATTCTTCAAGAGGGAAGAGTCGAGCCACTTTCGACTCGAGAAATTAAAATTATAACTTATCTG